ATGGAGGGCATATTTATTTCGCTGTAGGAGTACTCAAACTATAATGGAATTTTGGTTTTTCAACTCTACATAATTCTCTTTCCAATAGATAGCACATTTATTTTTCAGTAAATGGAAAACATCACTTACCTCTTTTTCTAATCTTTTCAAATCTTTATCACTTTTCTGAGGTTCCTTCTATTTAAATTAAAGAGAAAATATAAACACATTAGAATGCCAAAAATATCACAGCCAAGTTTGTAAAGGTATCTGAAAAAACTAACGTGTTCCAAAAACTTAATTTCGATTTTAAACATTGCACTGAATCTATGAAATACCCTGTAGGTCTATTAGCTGGTAAATGAAGGAAAACAATCTTACTTTCAGACAAGGTCTCACTATATAGCACAGGCTGCCCTTGAACTTGCGTATGTGGCCTAGCATGGCCTTGAACTTGGAGCACTCTTGCTATCTCAGATTCCCAAGTACTGGGATTCTAATCATGCCTAATAGGGGCCGGGGAGATTTGACTGGCAAACGCAAGGATCTGAGTTCAATCCCCGGTTCCACCAAAAAAAAAAAAACCACAAAAACCCTGGAAATCTAATCATGCCTAATCATTCTAATCATGCCCAGCAGGAAGTTTTTTTTTTTTTTTCTTTTTTGGTACCAGCAATAGAACTCATGACATCATGCTTGCCAGGTGCTGTGTCACTGAGCTATGTCCCTATAGGAAAATGTTCTTTTTTTTTTTTTTTTTGTACCAGGGATTGAACTCAGGCCCTTGTGCTTGTCAGGCAGGCACTTATGCTGCTGAGCTATCTCCCCCAGCCCCAGGAGAAGAATTTAAAACTTTCAATTTTAAAAGTTTTCAACCCAATAATCAATGGCTTTCCCTAAGACCCAGTAAAAAGAACAGGTAGAGGTTTATGGATAAAGCTACTACTACTTCCTTTTTTTTTTCTTCTTTTTTTGAGGTACCAGGGATTGAACTCAGGACCCTACGCTTGCCAGACAAATGCTTATTCTACTGAGCTAACTCCCCAGCCCAAAAGTTAAGAAAAATTTTTTTTGGCGGGGGGGCTGGCTCAGGATCCCTTAAGGGCAGGGCTGGTAAGGCATGAGGATCGGGGGATGGAACCACAGCCTCCTGCGCCTGACTGCTTTGCTTAAGCAGGCACTTAAACAGCTGAGCAGGTCCCCCACTTCCTGGTTTTTTTTTTGGCAGAATCAGGGATTGAACTCAGGCCCTTGTACTTGCCAGGGAAGCGCTTATTACTGAGCCATCTCCTCGCCCTCCTTTTTAATGTTAAACAGCAACAATTCTGAATATTTTAATCCTGCTGTCTACAAAAGCATGTTTTTAAAAATTTTTTTTCCATTTGTGTATTTGGTACAGTCTCACTATGCAGATGAGACTCATGATGATTCTCCTGTCTTCAGCCTCCCCAGTGCTGGGATTGCAGGTGTGTACCACCATGTCCAGACTCTGTAGCTGGCTCAGTCTGCCCCGGCGGCGGGGTCAGCACAGCATGCGAGACCCGACTGTGGATTGACGCCTGGTCCCTGCACTTGCCAAAGGGGCGCTTAGTCCACTGAGCTGTCTCGCTGACCCTTCCAAAAGCATGTTTTAGTGAAATACACTTAAATTTTAATATCCAAAGAGAAAAATATACAGTTCCAAGGAGATCAGGAAAAGCTGAAAAAGTAGATTTTGATTCTAATTTTCTTATTGCCTTTATTCTAAATCAGATGTAATTTTCACACTGTATCTTTTTATATCTAACAGCCTTTCTAACAGACATAAAGGCTAGAAACAGAGTATCTATCTTTACCATTGAAATATGGAAGAAAATGCATAAACATCCTGAATGAAATTTATTTTACATGCTCTCTAAATTGAGAGGAAGAAATACTGACATTATACTTATCAATAATGATGGCATTTTCTGTTAGGGAAAGTATATTATTTGGGGCTACGTACATATCTGTATGTAACTGAGTTTACTGTGAGATCTGTGAATTCTATAATTAACCCAAAATTCCAGATTGTTTCTTCAGGTAACTAAAAGCAAGTCATTTAGATCCATTTCTAAGAGTGTCTAAAAAAGAAAAAAAAAGAAAAGGGGGCTGGGGAGATGGCTCAGTGGAATAAGCGCTTCCCTGGCAAGCGCAAGGGCCTGAGTTCAATTCCCAGTTCCGCAAAAAAAACAAAACAAAAAAAAACCAGTGTCTATAATTAGTCTCGTCCAATAATAATTCAACACCAGCCATGGAATTTTCTTTCTTTTTTAAAAAATATGTATTAGGTACAGGGTCTTGCTACATAGCT